TATTTTAACATGTTGAGTGCATTGGCTAAATATTTATTATGATAAATTATATATATAAATTATTATTATATTTAAATATATAAATTATATTTAAAATTTATATAAATAAATACTTTTAAATATATGAATTATATTTAGATTCATAATAAATAATTTATATTGTGACATAAAATTATGTTTAATTATTGATAAATTATTTTTAAATTATTAAAAATAATTTATAAATAAAATTGAATTAGATAAAAAAATAAAAAAAATATTGTCAAATTTATTTTAAAAATATTAAAATTTAATTTACAAATAAATATAATAAATAAAAGTTGAATTATACAAGAAAATTCAAAAATAAAATCTTAAAAGTATTTTTGTTAATTTTTTTAAAATGTTCTTATAAGATAAAGTTTATATTTAATATACTTGGATCGATTAACATATTTGTCTTTCGCATTGTATTTATCTTGACTTAGCGGTGCATGAATTATAGGTAGTTCAGATTCATTGGACATTTCTGAACTCTTTTTGGGTTCCTTTGGTTTGGTCTGAAAAGTATAGGTAAAGACAAAAAAAAGGTGTCACGGACTTACAGTATTTTTTTTTCTCCTCAAAACGATAAAAGTCAGGCAAAGAAAATACTGAGCTGAAAGCACATTCATTGAAACAACAAAGAATAATTTTTTTACTCAATTTTATATCGAATGAATTTTGGCTTAAATGCATTTTTGTTGCTCTAAGGATAGTAGTTATAGAATTTTAGTTTTTAAAAATTTAATTGATTATTTTTAATCTCTTAAATATCGTAATTATATAATTTTAGTTTCTTAAATATCATAATTATATAAATTTTGTCTATTTAATTCACATATATTAGTAATTTTAGTAATATATATATATATATATATATATATATATATATATCATATAATACATGAATAAAAATTATTATATATGCAACTTAAATATTTGAGCAACAAAATTTGTTTAATTAAGACCTCAAGAAACAAAATTGTACAATTGTAATACTAGAAGAATTGAAAATGTAATTAAGCTATGAATCTTTAAAAATATGTTAGATATTTAATTTTTGTATTTTCATTTTCTTTATTGATTATATTTTTTTTTATACTTTTTTTCTTACCTATTTTTTTTGTATAAATAGAAAATATAACTTCCTCTTACCAGGTTGACCCAATTTAAGAATAAGTATAGTTTTTAAGGATATGTTAGATATTTATCTTTTTGCATTTTCATTTTCCTTTTTTACTATGTTTTTTCAAATTTTTTTCTCTGGTTTCCTTTTCTTTTGTATAAATAGAAAATATAACCTTCTCCTATCAAGTCATCCCAATTTAAGAATAAATGTCTAATCACAATTCATGTTAAGACAGAAATCTAATTTAATTTTTGATTAAGAAATGTAGGTGTTTAATTATTTATGTCGATAACATTCTATTTTCATAGATCACATATTTTTTTTATTAAAGACAATCATGTTTGAATCAGATAAAATTACTATAAACAATAAAATTATTTTCTTTTTAAAACCAAATTAAGGAATAGAATAAGAGTTAATCACCTATACACTGTTAGTGTAAAGTTTTTTTTACACTGACAACCAATTATATCTTTTAATTATGTCATGTCACTGTTAAAAGTAAATGTGTTTATAGTGACATGACACAATTAAAAGATATAATTGGTTGTCCGTGTAAAAAATTTTTACACTGACAATATATAAATAATTAACTTATAGAATAAAAGAGATTTGTTCCTTCAACTTGTGTTATGAGAAATGTGAAATAAGCATGCCATACCATATTTGTTAGAGATTATAATTTAAGTTTTTGGGTTGAGTTTATATTCAAATTCTAAAATAATATTATAATTTATCTCAACTATTGTTGTTAAATCTAATTCAATTAACTTACTATAAAATTATATAAACTTGGATCAACTAGCTTGTGAAGCCTAATTCAGTTGGCTTAATAATGATAGTGAATGGTAGGCTTGATAATGATTCCGTCAAAACCAGGCAACATATTTTAGAGCCAGACATATGTACATGCACACGTATAAATGATACAAGTTATAACCGAACCAACGAGACTTAATATGACATAGCCGAACCCAATAATGAATGATCGCCGATAAAATGGACTACATGCCAGCCAATTTTCCGAAACTTGAATCTTGAAGCTTGTGAAATAATGTGAAATAATACATGTTAAAAAAATATTCTGGAAGCCAGAAGGGTTTCATTGGCTTCAAAATATTTTTCAACAAAACTTTGGACGAAAACTTATTTGATCTTATTAAAACTATTTTACCAGATGATAACGTTTTCCAGACTGAAAACCAGTTTACTTCATCTTCTACGTTGAAAATTAGTTTTGTTAAAACAAAAGTCAGACTAATCACAAAGGATTACAAGTATTCTCAGTCACTTCTGACTCATCAACTAGACACTAGTATTTTTAACCACTTCTGGTTCTACAAGTACTCTCGACCACTCCTGGGCCGTCAGCTTTACTCACCAACGCTAGTATTATCAACCACTTCTGGTTCACAAGTATTCTTTCTACCAGCCAATGGAGCGTACCGGCTAGAAGAGCTCAGCGGAAAACCTATACCACGAACTTGGAATGCAACGCATCTCAAGTTCTATTTCAGCTAAATTTGTATGAATGAGTTGTGCACTCTTTTCCCGCCTCAGTCTTTTATCCCAAAAAATAGAAAAATGGGTTTTGGCTGAGAGGGTTTTTAACGAGGCACACTTACACAATCAATAAAATGACTCATTCTATCCAACTCATATTTTCTTAAGTTTCGCGTCATTTTATGTTTTATGCTAAATAGAGGTCGAGTTCGAACCAACTTATTTTGCTCTCATTCAAGGTCGAGTTCGAACCTTCGTACAATTCACTTTGCTAAAATCTGAGGTCAAATTCGAACCCCGACATAATTAACTCAAGGTTGAGTTCGAACCTTCACAAAAATTCGAGGTCGAATTCGAACCCTGGCATAATTAACTCAAGGTCGAGTTCGAACCTTCACGAAAATACGAGGTCGAGTTTGAACCTCAGCATGATCAACTCAAGGTCGAATTCGAACCTTCACAAAGAGTTACTTAACGAAAATCTGAGATCGAGTTCGAACCTCGGTATGATTAACTCAAGGTCAAGTTCGAACCTTCACAAAGAGTTACTTAACGAAAATCCAAGATCGAGTTCGAACCTCGGTATGATTAACTCAAGGTCGAGTTCGAACCTTCACAAAGAGTTACTTAACGAAAATCCGAGGTCGAATTCAAACCTCGGCATGATTAACTCAAGGTCGAGAGTGGATCTTGGAACAATCCACTCCGTCCTGAAACTCAGTCTGAATATCACAAAGAATAAAAATACACAACAGACATTGAACGTGAGCCTCAAAACGCGCAAACACGAAAAAATCAAGCCTAACAGAAAAGGAAAAGAAAAGCGCAACGGCAAATAGACAGAAAATATATATACATATACAACAATGTTTTCGAAGTTCCACACTTGAATTCGAGAAGAAAAACAAAGCAACAAAAATTAAACTAGGCTATTACAAAATTAGCCTACGCAGAGGCATTCTCCTGGAGCTGTCCTCGACGTCGTGCTCCTTTACCAGCTTTTCGAAGCGGACAACCTTCTCCACGTGCATGGCAGAGAGGTCGAATCCCGGTGCAAGGAGCCTGGCCTGGAGAGCTGCCTTGAGGAAACCTCTCTTATGCTCAACTATAATAGATCGTTCGGTTTCCTCAAGCTTCTTCTCCAACGCCGCCCTCTCTTCCTCCAGCTTCGCGAGGTCCACTCTCAAGGCGGCAACCTCCTCCTCCTTACCACTAAGAAGAACCTCGTCGCAGAGACGCTTCTCAACCGCCACCACCAACTCACCCTTCAAAGATGTCACCTCATCCTCCAAAGAGCGCACCCGACCCCGGGAAGACGTCACCTCGTCTTCTAGAAAGCGCACCCGATCTCGGGATGAGGCAGCAAGCTCCTACAGCTCGCTCACTTGGGAGGCATAATTCTCATTGGAACGCAGGGCGATCTCCAGCGACTTATGGACCCTCGCGAGGTCCCCCCTCGCTGGTCGAAGATCGGCCCCCTGCATTTTTGATTCACCAAGAGCAGTGCTTAGAACCTTGTTCTCCTCCTTCAAGGCCTTGTTCTCCTCCCTCAAAGGTTGAACTCGGCTCCTCAGCCTAACTAGGTCCTCCTGCTGCTTGGACCACTTATGCTTCCAGTGGTCCACAATCGCCATTGTCCTCTGTAGAAAGACCTGGGCGGCGTCAAAGCCTTCCACGGGCCCGACCTCGTCTATCAGCCCCTGGTCGCCCGAACTCAACGAACCTTTGGGGAAGAACTTCTCGGCAGTCACCCCCGCGCTCCACAAGCTATTGTGGATGCATTTAGCCTAATGTTAACAGGGTTCAACACAGCCCCTGCCATTGTCTTTGTTTCCTCAACAAAATCATCATTTTTGTTTTTGTTAAAAAGAGTAGAAAATTCTTTATTAAGGGTTCGTTTTCATTGCCAGATCACACACTTTTTCTTCTATATTCATTTGTACCATTATTTATACTAAAATCTTCTGAAGGCCAAGAAATTTTTATTTTTATTCTTTCCATACAATAAATGTCGCACAAATTTGGAAACTCTTCTCACATGTTTCATCTGGCGCTAATGAAAGAAACAAAATCTCAGAAAGTTTCTAGCAAGGATTTTAAAATTTTGGCTACAACATCAAATTTGTCTAAAATTTCTCCCAGCATCAAATATCGCCATGAAAACTGCAATTTAAAACTTTGGTTTCTAGTAGTAGTAAACCGATCTTGTAACAGAGACTATAATATTAATCACTGAAAGGAACTATAATGACTGGATTTTGAGATTCTTATAGATTAAAAACCTAACATTGTAAATTTTGGATCATAACTATGGGACCTGGGGAGCTCAAAAGCAAACAAATAACAATTACGACAAAACGAGCTTGTATATTAAGCATCAATTGAAATCTCAATACAAAATTATCCACCAAAAGGCAATATATAGAAACCGAATTGAAAAATTAAAAAAGAAATTACTGTCTATTTCCTAAGCAATTCATCGGGAACAACCCTAAGCTGTTTCCTCTGCTTGGATTTTGCAATCTTCTTCAAAGTATTAGGGTTTGTAATCTTCTGAAACTTGGTTCCAGATCTGATAATATTCTCCTGCTTCTTCTTCTCCCTCTCCTCTTTCTTCTTCCTCTTCTCCACCTTGTTCAACCGAATCTCCTCCTTCAGCTCCGTCATCCTCTCCTTGTACGCCTTCTTTATCATCTTCTCCCTCTCTCTCTGCTCGAACGTCGTCCCCTTCCGGCTCACCAGCGCCGCCGACGCCCGCCGCTCCCGCACCTGCTTCCACTTCCGCCCGGACACCTTCCCGGCGATCACGCCGTCGTAGCTCGGCCTTCCGAACGCCGCCGGCTTGTCCGGATTCTCCGACGAAGGCAGCGCCGATCGCTTCGACGGTGGCGGAACGGCGTCGTCGGTGTCCATGACGTCATCGGTGAGCGGCTGCGCCTGCTGCTCCCTCTTGCGCTTGTAGGTTTTGCCGCCGAAGCCTTCGTCGAGGCAGCGAAAGTCGATGGTGCACGCCATGACTGTGGTGTGCCAAACCCTAACGGATTTTAGGGTTTATATATATGTTCCGCGGGTTTTAGTTTGACGAATATGACCTTCTCTTCGCAGTTTATGACGGTTTTGTCTTCGCTGTGTGTATGAATTAGAATTCAAAAAGGTATAAAAAATAAATCACTGTTAATTTTCACTTTTAATTATAGGGTTACTTTCAAATATTTGAAATACTTAAAAGATTAATTTAATTGATAAAAGATAATTATTATTGATTTAATTGATAAGAGATTATTTTTATCATCTAAAAATAAATTGAAATATAAAAATAGATGTCTTTGAAAAAAATGATTTTAAAAATAATAATAAAGATAGTGTAATTGATAGAAAGGTATTTTATTAAAGATATCTAAATATTTTGTTATATTTATTGATGATAAATGAATCTAAACAATGATTAAAGAAAATTTTATATTTTTATTGAAACTAATTTATTGGAGAAAAATATTGTTTTGACATGCGTCGTGAAGAATATAAATGATTACCTAACAAATCCGTAGAATTATTATTGAAAATTCAAAATATTAAACTCATGATCATGAATTTTAATTTTTATATGCTTTGGAGTTTTTTTTTATATATATAATATAATATTTCAAATAAATATTATATTATATGTTAAAATCAAAATGATGTAATAAATTATTAAATAATTTTAAAATTGTATGAATTTTTTTATATATATTTAATTTAATTAATAAAAACATCAAATACAATTTGATAGATTAATATTTGGATCTAGGTTTAAAGGTATTCAGTGACTATAAAAGTTTTAAGTACCTTTTTTACCAAAAAAAGGCTTAACATGAGACAAAGTAGATGGTTAGAACTTCTTAAGGATTGTGACTTTGAGCTTAGTTATCACCTCCGTAAGGTCCATGTAGTAGTTGATGCTTTGAGTAAAAAATCCCTTCAGGTGTCTATTTTAATTGTTAGAGAGCTTAGTTTGTTAGAAGAGTTTAGGGACTTTAGTTTAGCTTTTGAGTTGACCCCTAGAAGTATTAGATTGAAAACCTTGAGAGTGACCATTAGTCTAATAGATGAAATTAGAAAAGGTTAGAAGATATATCCTTTCTTGTTAAATCAAGGGAAAGATAATGAATTTAGAGTTGATGTAGATGAAGTGTTAAGGCTTAAGGATAGGTTGTGTGTTCCTTACATACTTGAGCTTAAGAAGATGATCCTTGAGGAAGGTCATAAGAGTAATCTTAATATCCACCCAGGAATCATTAAGACATATCAAGACCTCAAAAAGATGTTTTGGTGGCCTAAAATGTAAAGGAATGTAGAAGAATTTATGTAAGCTTGCTTAATTTGTCAGAAGTCTAAGGTAGAACATTATAGACCTTCAGGAAAGTTACAACCTTTAGATATACTTATGTCGAAGTGGGGTAACATTTCTATGGACTTTGTGATTGGGTTACCTAGAACTGCAAAGAATCTAGATTTCATTTGGGTTATAGTGGATAAACTAACAAAGTCAGCCCATTTTATTCCTATTAACATTAGATACCCTTTGGAGAGGTTGACCAAGTTGTATATAGGTGAAATTGTGAGATTGCATGGGGTTTCGACAAGTATAGTTTCAAATAGAGACTCAAGGTTTACCTCTAGATTTTGAGAGAGTTTGCATAAGGCTTTAGGTAATGAGCTTAGGTTGAGTTCAGCCTATCACCCTTAAATAGATGGTCAAACCGAGAAAATCATACAGTCTTTAGAGGATCTATTGAGAGCATGTGTCTTAGAACATGGAGGTAGTTGGGATATTTTCTTACCTTTGAAATAGTTTACTTATAATAATAACCATTATTCCAGTATTGGAATGACACCCTATGAGGCACTCTATGGTAGGAGATGTAGAACACCTTTATATGGATAAAACCTCGGGAGAAATCCATATTAGGGCTTGAAGTAGTTTAGCAAACAACTGAGAAAGATTAATCTAAGATAGAATGAGAGTATCCTAGAGTAGGCAGAAAAGCTACCATGATAAGAAAAAGAAAAACCTTGAGTTTAAAGAAATACCATATATTCCTTAAGTTAACTCCTTCGACTAAAGTTGGTAGAACACTTAAATCTACCAAGCTTACTCCACTATTTTTTGGTCCCTACCAAATCCTTAAGAAGGTTGGTAATGTTGCTTACCAAATTTCTTTGCTTATGTGCTTTTCCAATTTGCATGATGTCTTTCATGTTTTCCCACCATGAATGTATTTTCGAAGGTTGTTTGGGGAGGAAATGTTGAAGAAAGTGTTACGTGGGAGTTAGAATGTTAGATGCGAAAAATGTATTTATTTTTACTCACTTTAGATAATTTCGATGACGAAATTTCTAAAAGAAAGAGAGAGTTGTAATACTTCATTTTCCATAAAATATAATATAAGTATTTTATTAATAATTTTTTATATTTTTATTTTATTAATAGGGGTTGTTAAGTATTTATTTATTTGATTAATATGTTTTACAATATAATACATGGTGTTTATTAAAGGTTATTATATTATTTTATTAAAGGGGAAGGATTTTGTAACCGTGATTAATATGTTCTAATTAAAGGGTTAAAGGGAGGTTAAGATTTTAAAAATAAGGATTTTAGATAAGTTTTTAGGCTCTCTTGTTTTTCCCACACATGTTCATGCTTCAAGACTTGGAGAATGAGAGCATGTAGGAAATCACCCCAAAGCCGTGTAAGGATATCTAGTGCTTATCCAAGTAAGGGGAGAGTAAGAAACCTCGCTATGGGTGTGGGTTTGTATTTCGAGTAGTGAGATCGCCTCCAAATCTTGTGTATGTTGTATGTTTATGTATGAGGGATTTTTTCCAAATGTGTCTATTTTAGTTTTTGTTCTTCTTGTATGTGATTAATGACATGAATTGTTTGAATATATGATTAATTTTATATTTTGGATGGTCATTGTGTGATCTGAGGTCCTTATGGGTTCACATGGGAAATCCTAAAGAAACTTGTTGTGATAGTTATGTAAAGATACTAGTTGCGTGTATAAATTGAATGATATTGGTTGATTGCATGTATAACTTGAATAATAGAGCTCCTTTTAAGGTGATTCCAAATTGGAAACCTAACATCCAAGACAAAAGCTTTCATGCAGATCACAAAAGCAAATTCAATTAATTTAGGGGGTTCTTGAGGTGATCTTGGTTGTGACAATTTTGTCACTCCCATGACAAGCTTTGTTTTGTTACTTACAATTGCTTTTGACTTCTACTAGCAAAGATCACAATTGTGACCACTGAATCACGCCTATGACAAGCCTTATTCTATCAATTACAACATTTTTCAACCTTAGGTAGTGTTAGTCACTATCATGACTACTAGAAGTCATGCTCTTGACGATTCCTAGACATCGAGTTACAAGCATATACCCCTCAACAACATTTCCAATAAGTTACAAACCATCTCAATCTCATCTATAAGCCCCAAAAATTAAATCAAAATCAACAAACTCACATGCACTGCATCAAAGTGATTATAAACAACATATACAACATGAAAATTAGTTTAAATCCAACATGCACCCACTCAACAACAAAGGATCAACAACTTTGGTTTTTGGGTTCACCTCCCCCAAAACCCCAACTTCAACAACCAACATTAAAATCAACATTCTAGTCATCAATGAGTGAATTATCAACATAAACAACAATAATCAACTTCAACAAAATAATTAATTCATAACATAGTATTACAAAACAAGTCCGATCAATATATTTAAAACAACGCAACGGGACGACGAATAAAATATTTAAAACAATGAAGTCGCTACTAATGTTTATTTTTACGGAAAAACATTAAAAAAACCCTGAAATAGAAAATGGCCTACAAAAATCAGATTTTTGAGTTCGGAAGTCGATTACATGTAAGGAAAGTATTAGCACCTCACAACATTCATCATAAGACGGTTACCTTTAATTAATTAAACAAATTATTTATAACTTATAAAATATTTATCTCACCCTAAATTAGTTAACTATAATGATCAAATATATTTTAACTAATGCATTTTAAGAAAGAGTTAAAATTATTATTGTTATATAAAAAGGAAGATATTTTTTTTTGCTCGACAAGATTTATTTCTTGCTCTTATGTATCTCAATGTGTAATGAAGAATTAGAGTCACATATTTCTTTATAGAAAATATTTGTATGTTGATATTTTTAATTGAATTTTACTTTTATTAAATTTAAGATTTTTGAACTGTCTCAGCTCATTCACCCTAAAGTATAAAATTGACTGAGGTGTATACCAAAGTCTAATCAATAAAATATTTAATTTCAATTATAATTATTGTTATAGGTATTATTATTACTATGGTATATACTTAAAAGATTTTCGGTTGGATATTTTTATTTTGGAGAAGTAATTTAAAGATATCAAGTTGTCACATCTTGTAACTTAAATTCAAAGATTAAAAAGATGTCACATCTAATTAATCATTCCTCCAATAAAATCTTCGATATAATGACTTCAAATATTTATATTGAATATTGTGATAATACTTTTTTATGTTTAATTATATTTTGAATTTAAATAAAGATTTTAAGGTAACAAATTGTCACAACTTGCACCTTTAAGCTCTAGAATCAAGAGAATGTTACATTCAAATAATTCTTTTTTTTTTAATGATAAATATTATTAATATAAATATTAATGAAAAAAACTCATAGTTATTATTATTATTATTGTTATTATAATAACTATTACTATTATCACTATTACTATGATTATAATTATAAGTATTATATTTATTATTATTATTATTATTATCATCATTATTATTACTATTATTATATTTATTATTATTATATTTATTATTATTATTATATTTATTATTATCTACTTTTACGTAATCCTAATTTCCTTTTCATAAGACTTGACTCTTGTTGTTATATGACCACACGCTTGCGGTTTCCAAATTTCGCATATTATATACCTATTTTACGTTTAAATTTTTATCTCGTATCATTTAATT